TCACTCACCCCCTCTCCTACCTTCTCCACCAACAGACGGTATATCTTCGAGGACGTCAACAACGTAGACTCCAGCTTTGACGCCGGCGGCAATGTGTCCACCTCACTGACCGCTGTGACTATCGCCGCGCAGCTCTTGTGGCCCGGGGACCTCATGCAGAGTGTCACAGTCGCTGTCAAGGTAGGCCAGCTCATCATCATCATCATCATCATCATCAGCAGCAGCAGCAGCAGCAGCAGCATTATCTCATCATCATCATCATTATCATCATCATCATCATCTTCCAGTTCCAGATCTGCGACAGACATCGGCGATCATGGTTCTCCATTCATCCCTTTGCTCGGATGCTCCCTGATCTTTCCCCGTCACCAATTTGTTTAGGTTCCCTGAGTCGGTTGCTCTGGGCCTACCCCTTCCTCGTTTGCCCTCAATTTTGCAAATCAGAGATAGATGTTCAAGACCCTTATGTCTTTGCAGGTGTCCCAAAATCGGCATTTGTCGTTTCCAACTTCTTTTTAACTATGAGCGTCCCACATGGGCTTCATTAAGCACTACCCCATTTGACTTCTTTTCCTTCATCGGTATTCCCAGCAGTCTCCTAAGAAACCACATTTCTGTTGTTTGCATTTTATTTTCACTGTCTTTAGTGATTGTCCAGCATTCACAGCCATATAGAAGGACTGACCATACCTTGCATTTCAGAACTTTCATTCTGGTGGTCATTAAGATGTTTTCAGGCTGGCAAGGGGTGATCATACCCTGCGCCAAAATTGTGGAAAGCGGGTCATTCCATGAAAAGTGACAATCGTACCCGAGGGGGGATGATGGCTCACGGAAAAATTCTAAGCAGTGATAACGGGGAAAGATCAGGGAAACGTAGCCCGGGGGGGGGGGTTACATTGGTATACCATAAAATTACAAAGTTTTATCTGACATTTATGGCTGTTTTGAGTTATTAAGAGGACGAGGTCAGAAACCAAATGTTCTGTCTGCACAATCAAAATCGTAAGATTATTCGGAGTCGTTATCAAGTTATTCAAAGAACTGCATTCGAAAAAGATTGACGTATTTTGAAACTCTAAATCTTTTAACATTGATTTCTTCAAAACTAGGTACTGCACAGAAAGAACGTTGTAATTCTGAGGTGATTGTGGTGAACAGTTTCTGTCTTTCTGACTTCCCTTCCTTCGTCTTTGTTCCTTTGTATTTCTACTGGACAGAGGCACCGCCCGCTGAGGTAATGGTCTATCTGAGTCGAATCGGGCTTTACTCTCTGTACAACTTACCGTATTTTACTGCTTTATTTGTTCTTTCCTTTTATACCACGAGGTGTCGAGTTGAGATCAAAGATCGTGTATAACAAGATAGTTCACTCGGCCAAAAAAAAGGTCCGTGGGAGTCCGGGCATTGGTTCAGATGGCGCTGCAGTCTTTGTTTTGAAGCTCTGGCTAAAACAGCACCTGGACACGGATGGCTGATGCCTCCATAAATAAATTATAGATGGTCAAGGTTTTGAAGCTCTCTTTCGTTTCTCCAGAAGAAGAATGGAAATAGCACAGTTTGTTAGTTCCACTTTTATTGTTTTTCACACAAGTAGGGTAACTCTGTTCGCAAAGCTTTTTTCGAAGAGGACGCCACCAGATTTTTAGGACACTTTTTTAAATTGGCTCAAAGAGAAGAGTGAAATATCTTGCCATGTACGATCTTTGGTTGAGATGTAATTCTTGGACGTGGGCCAGGTGTGTTGCTACTTGGATCGTCATATTGTGCTTTTTGAGGGTCTCTTTGACTGCTCGGGGGCTCTCTTCGCCTAGAGGTTAAGGTGTTGGCCTCTCATTCAAAGGTCCCGGTTTCGAATCCGGGTAGCGACGGAATTTTTTTCTCCTCTTCTCCTCTAAGATTATCTCCTCTCACCTCATTTCCTGTTCTGTAGCAATGTTCCGTCGTCTGCTTTCGTCTCCACCGACTTTCTGATTCCACCGCGTCCTGAGACGTTTTAAAAACTTGATGTTTTTTTTCCATCCCCAGTTCGGTATCGCCGGATGTTTCTGGTACTGTAGCGGGGCCCTCATCAACCTGGCTCTGTTCCCGCTACTGTCTTTTAAGTTCAAAACTCGGGCCCCGGGGGCGAAGACTTACTTACAGGTGGGTGTTGGCTGTTTGTGTGTGTGTGTGTGTGTGTGTGTGTGTGTGTGTGTGTGTGTGTGTGTGT